ATGGGGAAATTTGCGTCAGGTTACGACCAGCTCGGGATACGCCCAGAGTCACGGAACAGATTAAGTTCGTATCCCGAGGTACCACTGTACCTCTGTTTGCTTTCTAAACTCCATGTTTAATTTTATACACTTAATATTGGATTTCTTTTTCTTAGCTACTCCCCAAATATGTCTTTTTCCTTTTCTTTCTCCCTTTCTTCCTTGTTTGATCCATTGCCGCCTTCTTCTTCTTCACTTTTCTGTTTTAAACCCTCAAGCTGACATTGTATCAATAAAAGTAATGCTTAGCTAGAACAATGAAGTCAAAGGTAGGAAATATTACACCCATAGATACGTCCTATGGTACCTACCAGACTCCACCCATGCATTATTTGTTTATTTTAGACTATTTTAATTAAATAATCAGTTTGAAGTTTGCATACTGCATCATGCAAATCTCCATTGGAAATGTGTCCACCTGCTCATTAAAAAAAAGTTGAACTGTGATTGGAAGCAGTAAAAAGCATCCTAGGGTGCTAGAGGTTATAGTGTGAACTAGTTTTGTAACTAGCCCAAGGTGCTGTATGGCCATTTTTTGAATAGGCGAGTTTCCTATGGCGTATACTGAGCTGACCTTGGCTGATCTTTAAAATTAAGCAGAGTCAGATCTGGTTTGTATTTGGAAAGGAACTACAGAGGAATTCCATGGCTGTAGCCTAGGGAGAAGTTGAGAAAAAGTTTCCTGGAAGAAGGCAGTGGTAAATGACGTCTGTATTGCTGCCAGAAAACTACATAGATATGGCTATGAATTCATCAGAGTCAGGCTTAACCGAAGAGACGTTAGCTTTTTACCCCTGGCAGTCATTGGTAAGAGTGCCACAACATGCTATCCACATTCCAAATGTTTCACCAGTTCAAAGAAGTCTTCTACCCTGAATTCACCATATATATGTATATGTATAAGAATTCTTTACTCCTATTTTAAACATTTTGATTTTGCTTGCCTGATACATTTGCTTTCATACACACACACACACACACACACACACACTATTCTAGAAACAGAAGCTTTGGTAGATATACCAATGGAGAAAAAAATATACATTCTTTTGGACTCCTGTTTGCTAATAATGGCTGAACGAGGTTTTTCCTGTCTTCTTCAGCCATAACCTTAAAGCAGTATTTCTCAACCTTGGCAACTTTAAGATGTGTGGACTTCAACTCCCAGAATTCCCCAGCCAGCATGCTGGGAGTTGAAGTCCACACATTTTAAAGTTGCCAAGGTTGAGAATGCTATCTTAAAGAATAATAACCTTTTCCAATATTTAGAAATTTGCTAAGGTTGACAGTCTTTCCTTCTTTTATCACCAAAATGCTCATTATTTCCTGTGTTGTTAGCAAAATATAGAGTTAAAGAAAAAATATAGAGTTATAGAAAAAAATGGAGCCAATTTTATATGCCTACAATTCCCATTATATACAGGACAAAAATAAGTTTGTTGGGCAGTAGGTGATGCCAACATACCTGGCAAGGAATCAGATTCAACTGCATTTAAATTTGAAAAAGTAAGAGCCTAGGACCCTGTGGGATAAGGTTTGCAACAAAATATTGCAAAACATTTTTCTTCTTGACATAAGTGGTTTCTTCAATCATTCCACTTTTGTCAGTTTCCCCATTTCCATGCTTCATTTTCCACCTGGCACTTATGAATGTACAGCTACTGGTCACTTTTGATATGACGTTTCAGTTGTCTTTTCTTTGTAGCAAATGTAGGGAAGTTGCACCCATAGATGCATTTCTGCAAAACTCAGTGTTTGCAGTTAAGCTGATAACTCCCTCTTTTTGACCATAGTCTTGATTGCATATGCCACCAAAGTTAAATACCAAAGTAATAAAATGCATGTTTGACCTTATCATATCACTTTTGCTGAGAAGAGCCCAGAATGATTTACAAGAAAACAATAAACCCATATACAAAAGTTAAAACAAATTACTAAAAGGAAAGACAATCTGGTCCTGGAATTGTTATCTCATAAATAACTGGCTGAAAGGACTTGTTTTCAATTGCTTATTAAAAAAAAATAGACAAATTAAGGGTCTGCTATATATCTCCAGAATTGTGCTGCTCCTATTGAAGAAGCTCTGTACCTAGTCACTGCATTGTATGCTGGATCTACCAGTGAGAGCATGAGCAAGGCCTCTTTTAAGTACCTGGATCCAAGCTGATTATGGCTAAGTTGATTAATGTCCATTGGACCTAGAGTTGCTTTCAGGACCAGTGTTACGTAATCACATTTGGCTTCCAATTAAACAGTCAAGTACTGACCCACATTCTGCACGAGCTGCACTACTGGACCGCCTTCATGAGTAGCTCCACATGGAGTGCTTTGTAGTAATCCAATAAAGGGCTTTTGGGGGAGGGGGCTCCTTCGAGTCACTTTTTTTTATTCCTGGTGATTGCCTGGACAAGTCCCTGAAGTTTTCTTGGCAAGGTTTTTCGGAAGTGGGTTGCCATTGCCTCCTTCCTAGGGCTGAGAGAGAGGGACTGGCCCAAGGTCACCCAGCTGGCTGCATTCCTAAGGCAAGACTAGAACTCACAATCTCCCTGTTTCTAGCCTGGTACCTTAACCACTACACCAGCTGGCTCTAATAAAGGGCATAGGGCCCACTTTCTCACTGAGGCAACACATGCTTGTAGTGGCAATTGAAATCAAGGAGAATCCCATACTACATGCTGTCAGGCAACATAGGGGCCAAACAGACTTGGCTTTAAAAATGAAACTACTGTAAGATTGTGCCTCCATTTCCCACCCAACTATGCTACTTTAACAATATTCCATGATCAAAAGTGTCAAAGGCTGCTGAGAAATACAGGATACTAGCACTTCCCATGTCTTGCTCTTCTATGATACTTATTCTGTGTTCCCCCACAGTCCAATGTAACCAGGAAATAGCACTCAAGATGGTGCTATGCAGAAAGGAATGAGTCTTGTCCGTATTTATTGTGAAATCATTAGAAACAGATGACAGGTTTGCCCATTCTTTCTATATTCCCTGAGTGTATACACATTCAAATTCTTCCTCATCAGTAAAGTGTCAATGTATGCAAGATATGGGAAGTTAGAATTCCTGATACATTATTCTTTATTTAAAGTAGTTGTTGGTAAAAGAGAGAGAGAGACAAAGGCAAAGCAAATGGTTGTTTATATGTTTTTCATAGTGGGTCAGGTGGGATATTCATATTAAACAAAACATACAGAAGGAATAGAGTTGAAACAAACTATCTCATTACAGCAGTTCAAACCAAATTCCTGGCAGTCATTCTGACATACAGCATTTCTTTTGTAAGAGAAAAATAGGAAGATGGTATACGTATATCCCTTTCAGTTTGATCCTAATATGCACAATGGAGTACTCTGCATTGTTAT